CTAAGGTAGAAATGATAAGATGATTTTTTCCAAAAAAAGTATCATATAATTTTATTTATACAAAAAAAAATTCGATTCTTGATATACAATATAAAAATATATATATATTTTTTTTTTATTTATCCAAATGGAGTAGAAATCCTAATATTTAAACAGATTGGCTATTTTAAGGAATAAGAAATAAATTTTCACTGAAAATTTTTTCAAGAATTTTTCATGGCAAAAATAAAATGATTTACTTTTAAAAAGAATTGTAGGACAATGCGCAGTATAATACAAAATAGGAAAAAACATATCAAGTTTTTATACTACGATGAGTTAATCAAAGAAAAAAAATGCAAGCTGCATGAAGATTTTTTGATTTTTTTAGAATATTTTAATTAATGTAAGAAATTTCTTAATAAAAAAAATTTTTTCATTTAATATTTAATAAAAAAATCCGAATTCAGTTTTTTTTTTCAAAAACCAATTTTGGAAATTTTTTCAGAAGCATGATTTATTTATTATTTTTATTTGTTATTTCAGCCACATAAAAATTTTTTTTTTTTTTTATGATCTACAAAAAATATATAAATGTCTCCCATTCACAGGAAGGGAGGGTAGGCGTTATATTCTTAGATTTAGGATTCATTATTCTTAAATCCAATAATCAAATTCTAAGATATTAAATTCGCGGGCAAAGTTTTCATGTAGATCAAAACCAAATAAAGAGTATACGTTGTCTAACCTTTCTTTTCTCTTATTATTAAGTCACTATGTATTCAAAAAAGTGCCGATTTGTTAGTACAAATTAGAATAGTTATTTCATTAGCAAAGATTCCCATACATCATTACACATGAATTTTTTACTTAGCATAAGAATTAGACTGAATATTTTCATTATAGATCTGTAACAAATCAATGACTTTGCTAGTACACAATTAATAAAATCTAGAAATTATACAAAATGTATTACAACTTAATATCATTATTTATTAAATTATTTAATTCATTTTGAGCATCTAGATCTCCTTGTTTAGCAGAAATTTTATACCAATAAATTGCTTGATTTATATCCTTTTTAGTTCCTTCTCCATTTTTATACATACAGGCGAGATTATATTGAGCTACATGGTTTCCTAATTTTGCCGCCTCTTGAAATAATCCAAATGCTCTTTTCTTACTAACATTCGTCCCAAATCCATTTAAATAACAAGATCCTAAATTATTAATTGCAAGCATGTTTCCTAAATTTGCAGCTTCTTGATATAGTTCAAATGCCTTTTGTTCATTAACATTAGTTCCAATTCCACATTCATAGCAAGATCCCAAATTATAAATCCCACGTGAATTTCCTAAATTTGCAACCTCTTGATATAATTCAAATGCCTTTGGTTCATTAATATCAGTTCCAATTCCCTCGTCATAACAGTATCCTAAACCAATCATTCCATAAACATTTCCTAAATTTGCTGCATTTTGATATAATTCAAACGCCTTTTGCTTGTCTACATTAATTTCAATTCCAAAATGATTGAATACTCCAAGTAAAAAAACTGAATCTGAATCATCCTGATTATTTAATAGCCAATAAAAAAATTCTTGGGAAGTTATATTATGATTTTTAAGATAATTAATAATTTCATATTTTCTTCTATTTGTTTCTATACTTTCAAGAAGTATAGTTATTTCATTAATAACCATGCTAAAATTATTTATAATTAGATTTGATGAAATTGAAGGCTCTATTTCTTTTATATTTATCTTAATATAATTTTGAATAATTTTGGATATTTTTTCGTGTAATAAATCATTGATAAATTTTTCAGGAATTTCAATACTTGATTTAAGCAGCTGTTTATTTGATAATTGAATACCTGCATTAAAATTGTTTTGTTGTAAATCCAAAATAATTGCACTTAATTTAATAATAATTTGATTAATAGTTGGACGATTATCTGGTTCATTATTCCAGCATTCTAAATAAAAAAAATAAACTTTTATTAATTAGACCATTACTAACTATAATAAAATTTAGTAGCATTTACCAGTATAAATTTTTATGTAGTTTTCAGGTGTATTAGGAATGGGCTTCTCTCTAAAACTTCGTAGAATTTCCATGGCTAAATCAACATTATGTGGTTCATTATAAAAAGGTGGCCGACCACTAGATATTTCCCACAAGAGTACGCCAATACTGTAAATGTCACTCTTTTTATTTAATGAATATACTTGAATTTGGGTGTTATTGTCATCTATTATATTAAAAATTTGTGGGTCAACGTAGGGGACCATTTCAAATAAATTTGATTGAAAATTAAATGATTCTTTAATCCTTTTTGACAATCCAAAATCTGCTAATTTAATGGTATTCTTATGAACTAAAATATTATTTGAATTCTATTATCAAATATAGCAAATAAATAATTAATTATAGTATATGATCTTACCATATAAATTAAATAAGTAAATAACTTACCAAATCATGGTGCATGATTTCTTTATTGTGTAATAATGATAAAGCATTAGCTAACTGAAGTGCCAAATTTAACTTATCATTCCAAGTTAAATTTTCAAAGTGATCATTCAAATAATTTCGAAGGGTACCACTATCGGCATATTCCATCACTAGCGAATATTTTTTTGAATTATCATTTTGGATTTCTTTTGAAAGAAAAATTACTTTAGATTTTGTTCATTTTTATTAAACAATGTTTTTAAAAAATTAATAATATTGTACCAGTTGTAATACCATTAAAGCGAATTATATTTTCATGTAAGTCCACTTCACGCTGAAGTTTAATCTAAAATAATAAATAAAATTATAAATTATGAAATAATGCTATCATAATGATAAAATATATATTTTAAATAATTACTTCATTAACAATTTCTTCAGCAGTGATGTTAAAATTAGTAAAAGATTTCAATGCTAAGTAACCATGGGAATTTTTCCAGTTTGCACGATAAACTTTCCCAAAACTTCCAAAACCAATTTCTTGAATATTATCAAAATATTTGTAATCATAATATTTAATTTGCTTTTTCACAAGAGATTCTTCAATCAAATTAATCCACTCATTTGAGTTACCAATAACTTTAAGTTCAGTGTTATTATTAGACATTGTAAATATTAAAAAAGTTCTTGCTGTAGAAGTTAATTTTTGAATTACGAAGTTTAAGAAAAAAAAAGAAATGAAAATAGAAATTTGTACTATCTATTTTATATTAGTGCATATATTAGTGTTACTGTACATGTGGCATTACAAACAATGAATTTGTGTGAAGTAACAATCATGTCTGTCCTACGTTATACTATTCATTAATTAGCAACAATATGATGTCAGACCATGCGAATGATGCGTCAAACCAATGAGATTTTAATGGATTATAAAAATTTTTTTTTT